ATGCATACAGTTAACTAGAAGTTCAGTGATATTTCAGAAATTTAGACAATTTTAGATAGCAAAATGAAAACCTGAGGATTTTTTTTCAGGGATAAATTGACGCTAGGCTTTTAGTTATTCTGTCAAAATAATTTTATATTACTCGCCCTAAATCTGCTACAAATATTTGTAACGCTCCATAAATCAGATGATGAGAATAAATCCGGGTTAATCAGTTATTAAATCCCATAAATAAATAAAAACTTGAGGTCATTTTAAATCGGTGTGCAAATTTTAAAAACTAAACCGCCACTCAGTACAATGTTAACAGGTCTGAATTCTTCACTTTTAGTGGAATGATGATATTGCCATGGTAAACTAAGTTACGTTCCTATCTCTAAAGCCCTGAACATAGCAACTTAATTTATATTGTTGCAAAGGTCAGGAGCTCGAATCATCTACGAAAAAATCCTGGAAATAGTATAATAACATCTTTGTTTTGCAAACAACTATAGTCAACATTTGTGGGGTTATATAAGTACAGGTTAACAAATTATGTTGGAATAAGTACTGGCAACCGATTTTTCAGTTAACCTTAAACCGGCTATTCTGTTAATCGATTTTTGTTGGGCCGTGGTTTATTCCCTTGATTCTATCCAGGAGACACATCCGAACTCACGAGATTATATTCTTGGGAAATTTGAAAGTTCATAACTCAGAGGGCCGGTTTCTCAAGAGCGAGTCACCTCCGGGTTAGTTTTAACTCCAGGGTAAGCCTGTCCATTTGCTATGCTTAACCCGGGGGTGACCTGCTATTGAGAAACCAGCCCAGAATGTCTTAAATTCTCGAACAAAACAACCCATGCTGGACTGATTACTTCAACATTTGCCATCTGACACGATTTAACCTAGTTGGTAGAAGAGCCCACACGTAGGTATTCCCAATTCTGTTTCTCTACAGACCAATGGGGGTGTTTCTTATATTCCTAAAACACACTTTTAACATGCCTATTTTGGCAGATATTAATGGCACGCCACTAATTTTCTTTGAAATAGAAATTATTCTTGAAATCCCCAATATTTCTAAGCAAACATTGAAAAATGCTTCTTGATGCATATAGTACAATGTAGGTATGCCAAATTTCATTAAAATACTAGCTGACCCGGCGAACTTCGTAGCGCCTCTGAATTATTAAATACCTATTAAATGTTGTGTTAACGTATCTATTAGCTGAATTAAATTCAGTTTTTTTCCGATGGTGAATTTGGCTTTGGTTGAAGAATATTAATGTTTACTCTCTAGATCAGGTCACCTAAAATTAAAATTTAACATCATCCCTTTCAAGGCAGCTTGTGGGCATTTTTCTTGTGAAGTGTACCACCAAATAAATAAACTCAGGCACAAGAATGTTCAATGAATGTAAAGAAAACCAAAAAAAATCTACAGCGCAGCCCTGTATCACTCTATCTGCACTGCACTACTCCATCTGTTCTACTCTATCTGCACTATTCTATCTGATCTACTATTTCTGCATCACTCTATCTGATCAGAATAGTGGAATAGTTCTGTTCTAAATATCTCCATTTCCTGAGCAGCATGGTTCTACTGCATCTGCAATGAAATTACCGCGCATCGGTGAGCTTCGTTCTAGGTATCATATATGGCGCCGTATACAAAATGGTTGTGGCGGACTCATAACCTGGCTCTCTGCCACTCGACACCAGTCGGCACGGAACACGGCTGTCAAGGGATGCCTGAGAGGAGAAACGGAACTTAGCCACAGAACGTCAATGGTCAAGCGTCAAGAAATGACAGGGAGACCAGTTCGCGCTCTTTCGGAATGAACGAACCAACAACAAAATAAAATACACAATTAAAACATTGTCATTCTATTTATTTTTGGACATTTTTACTGTGAAGAACAATTAAAAATAAAGTGCTTTCCTCAAATTGTTTTTGTGCAAAGTGTGTGACAATAAAATTCACATGGTTTGCAATGAAAATGTGACGGTAAACTTGGTATCGGTTATAAGAGATGGCGCCGTATGCGGGCTTAGTGAGTTTTTTTCATAAATAAGTAAAATAGATAATTTTTTTTTTTTTTTTTTTGATTTTTTCGATTTATTATGTTAGGATGGACCACGGATGGACGAATACAAATCGAACAAAGCAAAAAAAGTTAAGACGTTTAGGACATAGGTTCACATGAAGTTTCCTTCTTGAAATGGACTCACAACTCGCCTCCTTAAATATTGACATTCAATTAGAAAACACTTGTTGGTTTTGAGTTTGCATTTAGATCAGCAAATTCTTTATGGCAATAATGATTATGGCATTGTAAGCGTATAAGACTAGTAGTAGTAGTCAGGGCCGGCTCCAGACATTTCGCCGCCCCGTGCAAAAGGTATTTTTGCCGCCCCTCTAACCGATTACTTTCCTACTTTGTAGTTCTTATTCAGCATTAATTGCAATTTGAACTGAACTCTCCAAAGAAAACACCTAAGTTTTTTATGGAATAATATTACTACTATACTATTTTATTAGCTGCTATCTTTTCAGAGCTTTAAAACCCCAGGCTTCGACGCCCTGGGGCGCGTCAGCGCACGCTCTGAAAAGAAAAAATCTAACCTCAAATTAGAAAGTATATGTCATTGTCCTGCGGGTCCTGTGTAAAACTAAAATTATTCAAATCAAATGGAAAATAATTGTTTAGAAAATGAAATAACTCTCATAATGATGATAACGGAAGTAAGTACCTATAAGAAATATAAGGACATTATCTGAAACTAGTGACAGTTTTGACACTGTAGCTTCGACGCCTCACTGAGGCGCTAGCGGTGTAGATAGACCGGTCCTAGACGACCCCGGGGCTTAACGCCCCGATTGAAAAGAACGGTTGTTTACATTTCAAAATCGTGACCCAGGGCGACCTGGGGCGCCCAAGCCCGTGATAAGAAAACAGCTATTGTAACCTACAATTAGCGGCAACTCTTAAAGGGCCGGTTTCTCAATAGCAAGTTAAGCATGACTCGAGGGTTAACATTGCAGACACGTTTACCCTGGAGTTAAAGCTAACCCAGAGATGACTCGCTATTTGAGAAACCTACCCAAATAACACCAAAACATAACCTGCAAATCGCTTAGCGGAGGCGTGAAACTATGTCATTGGTGAAACTAGGCTTGCGATAGGTGTTTTCGGGTTCTCGTTTTCCGAACTGTTCGCGAACCATTTTGGAACTGCGCAGAACTAGTTGCATAGTTATTAGGTCCTTAGGACTCTGTGCTCAGATCATGCATGTGCAACTCTTATGGCGCAATTTGTTCCGCTAAAAACTTGCGACTACAGACGGCAGAGGCGCTGTCGTCCAATGCTGTTGTCAGATTTATATATAAAAAGTACAGATTATCGTTTATTTGTTTTAAAAAGCTTCCAACAATGGAAAAGAAAAGTCGTGTACCTCGGTAACATGTAATTCCCAGTAGTACGATTTGAAATTACATTTTTTTTTCGAAATAAATATCCCATGTTTTTGAAATGTCGCAGCGTCGCTTCACTTCTATTTTTTCATCATATTTGACAAATTTTGACATATTCCATTTTGTTCAATAATTTGAATCAGAGATTGAAAATTTTCTCCGTTCAAAGCAAAATGGTTTTATCACTGTAACTTTTCTTTCTATTTAGGTGTTTATTTTATACCTGCAAAACGTTGCAATCAAAAAATCTTATTCATTGTAGGTACAGGTCATTGGTAGGTACCCATTATTGATTGTATTGATATCATACTGTAGTTAATAAAGTAATTTAAAATTGTTATTTTTGTATTTAATACATGGATTAATTAGTATGTAACTCTTCGGTATGTGATCAAGAGACTGTTTATCATAATTTTATTTCCACTAGTAACATATTGAATTGTTTAGTGCTAGTGGCAATAAAAAATGATAAACGGATCAAGAAAAAAAAAAAATTAAAAAGGAGCGCTTCCCGCGCTCTCAAGTTGCTGACTACACACGCGAGAGGGCGCTGTAATCAGGAACAAAATGTTTGTATTGAGTTGCCTATCTATATTATAGGTTCAAGAGCGTTTTGTATCCCTTATCTATGGCTCAGATCGTTTGTGGCACTCAGTCCAGTTTGGCAGTGATAGACGAACGCCATAATTGATGAAATAAATCATGAAGCTATTGTAATTAGTGTTTGGTTTTTTTAGCCGACAATTCCCTCCAGATTTTTGCCGCCCTTCGATTTTGCCGCCTCGTGCAGGGGCACAGGCTGCACAGGTCCCGGAGCCGGCCCTGGTAGTAGTATAGGAGTCTGTAGTAAATATTCAAAAATGGTTAACGTGCAAATATTTTCTTTTACTGGAGTGTTTCATGTCTCTTACATTGTACAGGGTCTGTTCCTTATAATTAGTGCTACTCCTGCAACTTAAACCAAAGAAAATACAAAAAAAAAAAAATTAAATACAAAAGTTGTAGGGTTTTATCTCAATTATCTTTCATACATGTCAAAATGGGCATGACAAGCGCCGCCAATTGTCACAATGACAAACACTTGCATTTTTCCAAGCCTTTTTCAAATGGAACACCCTGTATATTTTTAGCTAGAATGATAGATTTTTTCTATATTATAATATTTGAAATCAGAAGAAAAAAATCATTCTAGCTAAAAATATACAGGATGTTCTATTTAAAAAAATGCAAGTGCTGTCATTTTGACAGTTGGCACCTGTCATTTGCCCATTTTGACATGTACGGAAGATAATAGATATAAAACACTACAAATTTTGTATTTAATTTTTTTTTTGTATTCTCCTTTGTTTAAGTTGTAGGTGCCGCACTAATTATAAGGAACAGACCCTGTACATTAAATGTCCAAAGCTTGAAATTTAACAGAATCAAAATTGTGTAATATTTAATATTTTGTAGGTGTGTTACGTCAGCAGCATTTAAATTCATACCGCATCTGCTCGATTACTTTACTTATATAAAAATATTCTATAGGATAATAACTTACTTCCATCGCTCCCTCTATTAGATTTTCCATCAGAGTTCCACTCCTCCTCTGCAAATAAAAATTGTTTTTAGCAAACAATTATTTCGAAACGAAAACTTCAATCATAATAAAATAATCGAGTAAAATTTAAAAAAAAAAAAGTTTCGCCCGAGCAGGGACTTGAACCCTGGACCCTTGGATTAAAAGTCCAATGCTCTACCGACTGAGCTACCCGGGCTTGTGAAAGTAAATGGTGGATCGTACCAGTGTTTAGACCAAATATATTTTTCTGTTGCGAGGTCCTTCGAGCCGGATATATGATTTTTTAAAATTTTCATCACAATTATTCACAAACCTGATATTAACAATGACTAATGGATATTTAGATAATGATTATACCTATTGTTACACACCACGTTTAATTACAGATTTAAAAGTATGTATGTACGGTATTTTGACAAATGAGTAAATTATACAATTAAAAAAGCAAGTTATGGATCTGATTATATTAAAAAAAAAAAAAACTATAAAAAATATAAATCTACAGGGTGTCTCCATTCAACTGGTCAAAAATACTATAGAGGAACCATAGAAAACTAGTTTGAGATAGGACACCGATGGTCGGAAGTGTGTCATTTCCAAAATACAGGGTGTTGAAATTTAAACAACCCCCTTTCATATCATCTGAAGGAACAATCCGTGAAAATTTGAACAGCCTAGGATAAGCCCTTCAGATGATAAAGGGGGTTGTTTAAATTTCAATACCCTGTATTTTGGAAATGACACACTTCCGACCATCGGTGTCCTATTTCAAACTACTTCTCTATATATTTCCTAGCATTTTTGACCAGTTGAACGGGGACACCCTGTATGTGATGATAGCGCCATGCCATAAAATAGATATATACCTACTTATTTTTGGGTTTTTCAAAAATAGACAACACTGGAAGAATAGCTATTAGCTTTCTATTTGCGGAAACATAAACGCCGCTACATGACCGACTTGACTTGAAATTTTTGACAATCTAGTAGATATAGTTTCTATTTCAGGAAATAATTTTGTTCGTCTTCTATTAGGTTTATTGATAATGACCAATAATGAATGTTAAGCTCATCTTATATTGATAAACTTCTTAGAAAAAAAAAAGTAAGTGTCAACATTTGAAATCTGAATAGAGAATAAGGGTGCAAGGCTGGATCGATTTCGCAATTCAGATTTCGCAATTGGATCGGTATAAGCCAACGCCGCCGATACAAGATGTATCCAATGTTGATTCCAAGGTTGGATTTTAAATTAGCATAAGCCTATGCAATACAATACGGTATAGTGGTAAAAATCGCAATGCTTTGATTCTCTATCTAAAAAACCTGCAGGCACTGTTCCCCATGAAAATATGCTTTATACAACTTGAAAACATTAGTCCAGATAAAGCTGCCTTTTGCCTTCATATTTTAGATTAAAAAAAATTGCACCTCTATGTGAAATGGGGGCAATTAGGATTGACAAAATTAAAGAAAAAACTGAATAGTTTAGAAAACTTCGTGTGAAATTCAACCATTTTGAATTAAATTGTATTTACATTTTTGATTTAAGGTTATCAAATGGAAAGGTAAATCGGAATGGTGTACTGAAATAGTATATTACATGCGGAGGTGGAAAGTGTTTCATTATTGTCGAGACATCTTATGAAATTTCAACAATATAAACACATGTGACATCTACTTCTAAATACAAACATTGCACCTGGATTTGTGTTTAGGTGTGAAAGAACAATTTATCAGAGCCGAAAGTGAGTTCTTCAGGACGAAAGTGACAGGAGAACAGTCACTTTCGGCCTGCTTTAAAGTAAAAAAAAGTAAAGTGACATTTTCGAACCTTCAAACCAGTAAGGAATGTGAAAATTACATATATGGTTCAAAATAATAGTATATTACATACCAAGGTGAAAAGTTTTTCATAACTGTCGAGAGATTAGTTAGTTAACTATATTAACTATAATGTCGAGACAGAAAAGAAACTTCCTACCGAGGATTGTAGGTACACCTACTGTACTACTATTTTATTTACAACAATTACAGCCATCACAATTTTGACTAAATACTAAATAGTATAATCAAAAAATTTTGATGACAAGTTCTGACTTATCTAAAAAACGTTTGACATGCAGCATAGTCAACATGCAGGACTTGTGTTTAACATTTTATTTTGAACCATACATGTAATTTTCACATTTCTTACTGGTTTGAAGGTTCGAAAATGTCATTTATTTACAATCATACATGTAATGTTGATTTTATTGAATTTTAAATAGGTTGAAAATGTCACTTTTTTGACTTTTACTTTCGGCCCACCCGTGCAAAAATTACTTTTGTTTACCTTAAAGCAGGCCAGAAGTGATAGTTCTCCTGTCACTTTCGGCCTGGGGCCCGATTCTTGTCCCAGGGAGTAGAGCTTCCTGTGAGAACGACTTTTTTGTCCTTGTCAACATAATAGAAAAGTGAACGGGAATGATAAAGACAAAAAATTTGTTTTCTCGGGGAGCTCTCCTCTATCTCATACTTTTACCTTATTTTTTTCCAATAATTGATAGTTCAAAATTAAATAGAATACATATTTCGGTGGAAAGTTTATATGTTATATTGTTTCGAGAATTAAGGAGCATTTACATTCACTTCTGGGTCTATGTCAATTCGTCGTAAGTCAATTCGTCGTATGTCAATTCGTCGCAAAGTCAATACGCCGTAAAGTCAATTCGTCGTATACGTCAATTCGCCGTAAAGACAATTCGTCGTAAACGCCAATTCGTCGTAAAGTTAATTTGTCGTACACATCAATTCGTCGTAGCGTTAATTCGTCGCATTTCAGGTATAATGTCAAAATGTAACAATTTGCATTTTTTCTATTTAATCAGACATTATCAAGCTTACCGAATTGTCGTAAATTAACGTATACGGTAATATAGGTAATTCATCGTTATTATAGGTAAGTAAGTAAGTAAGTACCTATACATTTTACCATAATAATAATAATAATAATAAAATGTCATTATTGAAAACAAATGTTCATGACATTTGCCCATAGGGCGAAGATTTGCTTAAAGCTACTCATTAACTCTTAACCCTATATACAATTATTAAATTACTTTACTAATACAACAATCACAGTAACGGCAATAATGAACGATGCCTAATATAATAGATAAATATTCATGTAACAAAAAGAAAAAAATAAAACAAACAAACAAAAAAAAAATAAAAAATAAATAAATAAATAAATATATATATGTATACATATGTATAAATATGCTACTCACTACTAACCTACATAGCCAACTGCTCCTCCAAAAATAGTTGCTTGTATTTTTAATGAAGCTGATAGACCGAAAAATGCAAGTCAGGTCTTAGATGATTAAACAAAGATACAACATTGAATGTGAAACAACGAGAATGTTGTATCTTTTCAACATCGTACCTGAAATACGACGAATTGACGTATACGACGAATTAACGTGTCAATAGTTTGCAATTTTAGTCAGACATTATCAAACTTACCGATAATAACCCGGTTAGTTTGCAATATAATGTCTGATTAAAATTGCAAACTAACCGGGTTATTGTCGGTAAGTTTGATAATGTCTGAAATAACTAGACAGTGTAAATTTATACAATTCAATATTTTAACATAATACCTGAAATACGGCGTAATAATGTTACGATGAATTGCCGTATAAGACGAATTGACTTTACGACGAATTGGCGTATACGACGATTTGACTTTACGACGAATTGACCTGTACGACAAATTGACTCTACGACGAATTGACATATACAATGAATTGGCTTTACGCCGAATTGGCATACGACGAATTGACGTACGACATACTGATTTGCGACGAATTGACGGTGACCCTTCACTTCTAACTTCAAGTTAAATTTGACGTTTGATATTTTATCATTTACATTGCAGAACATAAACGTCAAGTCAAAACGTCAGAATTTTATGAGAATCGGATGGATAATCTAAAAATTTGACATTTCACAAAAAAGCAGCTAGCCCAAATTTGAAGTGCACTTCGAAGTGAACTTCAAATTTATTTCAATGTTAATGGATCTGTACTGTCGCCATATGGCAAGCACGTCAATTTTAAGACAAATTGGACTTTGAAGTGAATGTAAATGAACCATTAGTTGACCTCGGCGCTTCGCACCTCGGTCAACCATAGTATCTCACGACAATAATGAAACACTTTCTACCTCTGTATGTAATATACTATTAGGAAATGAGGGGAGGAAAGTAAAATTCGAAAAAGTGTCACAACAACAACAACAACAAACATTTGAAAAGTTAGAAACACAGATTAACCCGTCCTAAAGATAGGAAACTTCCATGTAAAATGTTTGTTCGGAGCTGTCTCGAAAATAACACGTGTGGAGCTTCATGACTGCCAAAGCTATGCGGCGCTAGTATACAAAGCCACAAGCAAATGTCATCTGTAAACTGTGAATGGTGAATATAATTTGTCAATGTGTTTGTCATCAGTTAGCCGTTTGATCTGTGTATGATCTGTGTTAGTGTTCTTTTATTTAATTTCCTATCAATTTTTGATAAAACTTTGACTTGTTAATATGTTTTTAAAAAAAGAGACTTTATGTTACATTCAAACATAGTGGGAATACTCGTGGAAATGGAATCAGTGATGGTTTTTATTTGCCATTGTTTAACATTCACATGAAGTGTGATTTGTGCACCAAATAAGACCAAAATACCTAAAAATATACCTCCATTTATAGCATAGGTATTACTGCAGTGGAAGCTTCTGAATTCATTCAGTTTATCCTCACAAACTTTGCTGAGTATGGAATTAGTGAATTTTATTTGCAGTATTACTTTTTATTGCTTTTTTTCAATAGGTTTTTCAATTATTGTTGTGTTTAAGGCTGTTCCAATAAAGAAGGAGATGGTACTAAAATGTTGCTGTTTTATTTCAAAAAAAATTACAGATAATAATAAAATAAAATCGACTAGGGACAAATTATTTGAAAAAAGATACTGAACACACTGAAGTGCA